TATTCTGGCAGCAAAGCCTACAGACTCTACTTTTAAGAGATATTCAGATTCTAACCAGTTCTCATGGCCTCTATTACTATAATCCAAAGCCACCTGCATGTGCCACTTGACTTATTCTAACAGGTTGCTAATCAGACTCCATGCTTCCATTATTGTCTCCTACAGTCTAGTGAAGTCAAAACTATTTTCACAAGACTATTAAACATTATTTTACTTCTTAACTCATTTTCTGGCAAGTACAGTGAATTTTTGTGCAGGCTACATGATGTGGTAGTGAACAGACTGAATGCCAGATGTTAAAGAGATTTTTAAGAGCTTTAAAACATTGCTATCTTGTCATTTTTTTTGTTTAGAAAATAAAATTATTTTCATAAAAATACATTATTTGTGTTAACATGCAGTGGCCTTATCACTGTTATTGTAAGTAAACTAAAAATACATTTCAAATTTCTACTATGGTAAATATCTATGGATATAACCAACATGAAGCTCCCTGGGATCTTCAATAATTTTTTTAAGAGTAAAAAGGCTTGAGACAAAGGTTGTTTAATGGCTGCTCTATAATGCAGCCAGAGTAATTTTTTCATAATTCAAATAAGATAAAGATTCTCCTTTGTTCAGCACCTGCTAATGGATTCTCATTTAGAGGTGGATAAAGACACTGCATGAGTCTTTTCTTGGTGAGCTCTGCTCTCCCCATGCCTCAGTGCCCTCCACCAACCATCTCCATGGTTGCTGCCCCTCTCCTCCCTCAGATATGAGCAGTTCCTTTCCTCTGGATTGTAGCCTTCTGAGTCAGATTTTTAATTGTGTCTTTTTTCCAGACATCTAAATACTTACAAATATTTCCCCAATCTTCCAAGAAAATACTACCCTGTATATCTCTGCCACTTGAACATTTGTTCACCCTGGCCCATCTGTAAGTCCTCAGGGACAATGACTGTTGTTTTAATCCCCTCAAAGGCTACCAGATCTGATGGTTTGCTCCCAGTGTGGTCTTACATTATAAACACACAACTGATTTGGAGGGGTTATCTAGCTAAACATTCAGGCACCACAGTCCAACATCCACAGCAGAGAGCTCCAATGAGGCTACTTTAACAAGGTTAGAGAAAATGTGTATGAAAAAAAAAAAAAAAAAACTATGCATGGATTTCAAAAGTTTTTGCACCACAATAAAAACGTATATTTAAATTTCATTTTTCCTAGAACTTTTTTTTTTTTATTATTTGACAGGGAGAGTTAGTGAGAGAGAGACAGAGAGACAGAGAGAGAGGTCTTCCCTACATTGGTTCAGCTCCCAAATGGCCGCTACGGCCGGCGTGCTGCGCTGATTTGAAGCCAGGAGCCACATGCTTCCTCCCAGTCTCCCATGTGGGTGCAGGGCCCAAGCACTTGGGCCATCCTCCACTGCCTTCCTGGGCCACAGCAGAGAGCTGGACTGGAAGAGGAGCAACTGGGACAGAATCCGGGGTGCTGGCGCCGCAAGGCGGAGGATTAGCCTAGTGAGCTGCGGTGCTGGCCTTTCCTAGAACTTTTTGAAACATGCTTGTATTACTAAGATCTCCTAAAGATTCAAACTCTATGAAAAATTGTGAAAGGTTGTTACTTAGTGTCTGAAAACTCCTTTAAAATTTGGAACTACTCACTGTGCAGATTAAACTTTTATCTCTTTTCAAAAGAGACGTACAAGTGCTGTTCACACTCAGTTGAAGATGGCTTCATACCCCTGGAAGTACTTACTCATCTTTTCCCTTGACCTCTTCATCTTAACGGAAATATCTCAATTCCTTTTATCTTTTCCACATAGATGATATTTTTCAATGCTCTAATCCTCTCTATGATGCTCTTCTGAATCATGTCCACGTTTAGTTGGGTGGTCTTAAATTAAACAAGCTATAAGAATTAGTGTGGCAGCAAAAGATTCCTAACATGTACTTTTTTTTTTTTTTTACTGCATCCCAGTGTTTGCTTTAAAAATATACTACTACAGGGGTGGGCGTTTGGCATAGATGCCGCTTGGACGTCCACATTCCACATCAGCGTGTTTGGGTTCGAGACTTGGCTCCATTCCCGGTTCCAGCTTCCCGCTAATGTGCACCCTGGGAGGCAGCAGCAGGTGGTTGGTTCCTGTCACCTGTGTAGGAGACCTGGATTGAATTCCTGGCTCTTAGTTTTGGCCTGGCCCACCACTGGTTATCACAGGCATTTGGGGACTGAGCCATTAGATGGAGCATTGATATCTCTCTCTCTTTAAAATACATAAATAAAATATACTAGAATGTTGCCTGGTAAAAGAAAAACTGTCCCAAACTTGTTTGTATGATGTTACTTTGAACCTCCTCCCTGAAAGAAATCAGGAATAAAATGTTTAAGTAATAGATTCTCATGAACTTTAATGACAGTAAAACTTATTCTGGGAAGTTAGTTACTACCCACACAGTACAACGGCTGTCAAAAAAGAGTTTAGTGATCTTTAACCAAGTATTATTCTTCTGGTGCCAAATCTAATGATGTTCTTTTCTTTTTTTTTTTTAATTTTTTTTTTTTGACAGGCAGAGTGGACAGTGAGAGAGAGAGACAGAGAGAAAGGTCTTCCTTTGCCATTGGTTCACCCTCCAATGGCCACCGCGGCCGGCGCGCTGCGACCGGCGCACTGTGCTGATCCAAAGGCAGGAGCCAGGTGCTTTTCCTGGTCTCCCATGGGGTGCAGGGCCCAAGCACTTGGGCCATCCTCCACTGCACTCCCTGGCCATAGCAGAGAGCTGAGCTGGAAGAGGAGCAACCGGGACAGAATCTGGCACCCCGACCGGGACTAGAACCCGGTGTGCCGGCACCACTAGGCGGATTAGCCTGTTGAGCCGCGGTGCTGGCCCTAATGATGTTCTAAGCATTATCTTTTGCTCTAAATAGATAATATCCTTATACAAAGCCAATCTCTGAATTAGCCTACTAGAGAGCTTTTCCTTACAGCAAGTTTGCTATAAAACTTTTATACATATTAATAACTAAATTGTTTGTCAGTTTTTAAAATGCAGGTATCAGCAATGTATTTTTGTCAACTTTTTTGTAATACAGGTATGAGTAACTTTTTTCCTTTGAAGGAAGAGACAGTAAATGCTTAAGCTTCATAAGTGCACATGTGCTGTATGCTACTTTTTTCAGTAGCTGTATGCTATTCTTCAAAAACGTAAAAACAATCTCAGCAAGTGGGCCATACAGAAGACCAAATGATCTGAGCCAGTTTGTCCAACCTGTTGTGAAGGTCTTGGAAGGCCCATGGAGATCTGCTAACCTCAAGAGAGCAGAATGGTTGGCGGCCTGGATCACGGAACTTCATAGCACGTATGCTACTGAAATCCAAGGTGTTCCTGTCTGGTCCGTGGCTTTTTCACTGAGGGCAATTTTCACACTTGAATGTCAAAGCCTGAAGGCCACTGAGGGGACTCTGTTCTATTGGGCTTAAGGTGACTTGCCATGTAAGTTAGAGTCTGGAGAGCTGTTTGGGTCTTAAGAATTGGTTGAACCTGGATTTGGAGTTAAAACTGAACACAGCAGTACACAGCACTATTTCTGTATGTGAAGGAGGTAAGCATGGAAGTCAAATATAGATCCCAGAATCTCTGTCCTGGATTTTAAGTGTGAGGACTTCCAAGGTCAGTGTTGTATATTTGATACATTTCATGGACAATTGTTTATTATGCTTATATTACTAGGAAATAACCAAAGCCCTTAGAAAGGTAGCCTAGGGCGAGCACGCATACATTGTTTTAAAAAGTATCAAAAACCAGAAGAGGTAAAGGAAGAGCAGCCTATCTTTTCAATGTAATACTGAAAAAGAATTTAACTGTCTCACCCAGGAATTACTGAGAGAAAATATGCCCTTTTTTTGACTTGTTAATTATAGATTAAATTACAGACTTGTAGATTTTTGGCCAGTAGGAAAGAAAACTCAACAGGTTATGGTTTTCATTTCTCTGGTACATTTCTTAGTTTTATATCTAACCAAGTAATGTTATTTTAACATTCTTTTAAAAATAATTCCTTGAATACTCTTTGAACAAATTTTGCCATCCTGCTGGCTCCTTCATTTACGAGTTAAATAAATCTTTGACATGTTTATTCTATATTTGTACAAAAGTCATGTTTAACTTTTTGAAAATTATCCTTTGACAACATTCACAGAAGTCTAAAGTTAGTTTATGTTTGGCCTGCAGTGGGTTTGATTTTGTATATATTTGCATCTGTATTTGCATTTTGTCTGTATGAGAGCTCTTCAAAAAAACTCACGAAAAATGCATACTGTAAAAAAATTATGCATAGATTTTTAAAAATATTGGCACCCAAAAAACTTCTTTTAAATTCCATTTTCCTACACACTTTTGGAAGTACCCTTAAACATAGGGATTAAGGATTTCTGTACATAAGTGGTTATTTATAGAGTTCTGGCTTTATACATACATATACACATACATACATACAGCTATCTGGTCAGCTTTCAGCAGCTCTTTGGATAATTCTGAACTAGAGGTTTAAATCCAAAATTTAAGGTTTTGTTTTTTTTTACTAGCAATTTAATTTGTAAACAACTAAGAGTAAATTACACAAAATGTGAAGTTCAATCGATATTCCTGATAACAATACCTGGACAAATTAAACAATTTTGTTACATTTCATTAAAAAGATGAGTAAATGTCTTAGTACTGATTTTATTCTGGTTTGGGATATGATGCAAAAATCAAACCTCATTTACATCAAAATATCAAACACAGTCACCATATGACTCAGCAATTCCACTTTCATACATATTTATCCAAGAGAAATGAAAACATATGTCCACACAAAAAAATGTTCACAAATAGCTCCAAAGTGGAAACAACCTAATTGTCAATCAACTGATGAATGGATAAACAAAGTATGGCCTGTCCATGCAATGGAATATTATTTCACAATGAAAAGAAATACAATATGATACATACTACAATGTGGATGAGACTCACCTATATGCTCAGGACAAGCAGCTAGTCACACACGCAAAATGACCACATTGCCTGATACCATTTACATGACTCTCCAGAGTAGGCAGAAAATCAAACAGCAGCTGCCTGGAGCTTGGGAGAAGTGGAGAATATGTTGAGATTAGGGCAGGGGTAGCTAATGAGTACAGGTTTCTGTATGAGATGAAGAAAATGTTCTAAAATCAGATTATGGTGATGGTTGTACAATTCTATATTTAAAATTTTTGAATATACTGTTAACAAATGTCATAGAATGCAAACTGTGTATTAGTAAATGTCAAGATATGCTCATATTTTAGCTTGTATAATTAGTTCATACATTGTCACTCATGCTATCTGTTCTCTGAGAGGATACTATTTTATTGGAAGATGCTAACTTCCTTATATTTGTCTCATAGATCAGATAGGTAATCGTTATTTAAACTAAAAATCTGAGATTGTGGATGTGCACAACAACATCAAATTAAAACCAGTGTCTCTTTCTTTGGTGGCTGTTAATTTTAGCTAATGCTATGGTAGAGTGAATAATGGAATGCTGTATTTCTAAGTTTTGTTTTTATTAAAACATTTATTTGTTTGAAGGCAGAGTTACAGAGAGAGAGATACAGGGAGAAAGATCTTTCATTTGTTGGTTCACTCCCCTACTGGCAGCAACAGCTGGGACTGAGCTGGGCAGGAGTTTTCATCTGGGTATTCCATGTGGGTGTAGAGCCAGAAGCTTGGGCCAACTTTTGCTGCTTTCCTAAGTGTGTTAGCAGAGAGCTGGATCAAAAGTGGAGCAGCTCATATGGGATGCCAGTGTCAGGCAGCAGCTTAACCTGCTACACCACAATGCTGGCCCCTCTCATAAGTTTTTAATATGAAGTGATTATGTCATTTTTAAGTCACGATATAAATTGTAATTCAAAATAATTAATTTTAAGACAAAGACTAATATTAAAATCAGGCAATTAATTGGCAAAATAATTATACAATCATTTGAACCTGTGAATCATAAAACACATATGCATAGTTTGTTGTTCATAACACTTAAATAAGAGCATAATCACTGTTTTACAATATACTTTCAACATTGCTTTTTTTAAAATTTTAAAAGCTGAAATTTAACATTTTAAAAATTACCATATACCATTATTTGGCCTATGTGATTTACATGAAAATACATCAAGACAAAATTAATTATTTTTAAAGTAATCAAGTAGAATAGGTAATTAAATAAAGAAAAATTATTTTAGATATGGTCTTCTCTATTTAAATTTTAAGGAATTTTATTTGAGAGGCAGAGAACAGGGAAACAGATCCCATCTATTGGCTTCACTCCTTATTTTGCTATCTCCAATTTGCTGTTAAGCTCATCCCATGGATTTCTCATTCCAGAATTTCTTTGTTGTTGTAGTTTCTATTTCTTTGGTGAGAGATCTTATTTGTACATCCATTATGACTATATTTCTTATACATAACTGTAACAGCAATTTAAAATCATTTTTTACTAATTCTCACACTTGGATAGTCTTGGAGCTAATTTTTAATGACTATTCTTCATGTGATTAGTGGTTAGACTTTCCTGTGTATTTTCATGTCTAAAAATTTGATTTTACACTAGCTATTGTGGATGAGGTGTTACAGAAATTGTGAAGCTTGTTTTCTTCATCTGAAAGGCTTGAGTTTAGTTTTGGCAGGCCATTAACTTGCTTATAATGAAACTGAAGTCTGTGTCACCTAAGGTGGGCAGCTTGTGAAACAGCTGTGTAGGTCATCCCGGCTTCCACCTGCTGTTGTCAGAGAAGCTCCGTGGATTCTCACCTCCCATGAGCAGTTCTTGGGTCAAGCAAAGGTTTAGAAAAAGTTCATATAGGTAGATTTGAGGGCTCTCCATTTGATGTAACTTTCTTGTCCCAAAGATTCCCCTCTCACCTTCCAGCTGCTGTGGAAGGCTTCACACGGCAAACTGACTTTTCAACTGTGGTGTCTGGGATGAGATTCAGCAGCTCTGGATCACAGGATCTGGATGACCTTTCAAGATCAAGGCCATAATTCAAACTCATCCACTGCATTGGATGAGACAGTTCCTTCCAAGTTCCTACTTGCTTTTGATCACCTGCTCATGCCTTCAGATATCTGGGTTTTATGTTTGACTCAGAGTTTGTAATGTTACATTCTTGAGAGTTAATTGATACAAGCTATTCCATTATTTATATTTCATTTTTTGAAAGGTCTTCAGTAAAGCCCCTTTTTTCCTTCTTAGATGATCTCTAAACCCTAATATATCAGGTTACTTCAGCGCATTTGTGACATATCTTTATTAACAAACCTCTAAAAGTAAAAGACTTCTAGGGGCTGGTACTGTGGCATCTTGGGTAAAGCCACCACCTGTGGTGCCAGCATCCCATATTGGCACAGTTTCTAGCCCCAGCTGCTCCATTTCCAATCTAGCTCTTTGCTAATGAGTCTGGGAAAGCAGCTGAAGATGGCCCCTGCTACCATGTTGGGAGATCTGGAAGAAGTTCCTGGGTTCTGGCTTCAGTATGGCCCAGCCCTGGCCATTGCAGCAGTTTGGGGAGTGAATCAGTGGTTGGAAGATCTCTCTCTCTCTCTCTCTCTCTCTCTCTCTCTCTAACTCTGCCTTTCAAATAAGTAAGTAAATAAGTCTTTAAAAAAAACTAAAAGTCTTCCAACTTAAACATCTCTTGATTATTGGTGATGCATGCAGCTACATCATAATTTCAATCTCTGGTTGGTATATTATCAAATAATACTGCAAATGTCAGAAACCCAGTTTTAGAAGTAGAGGGATTTCTACTCCGCAGGAGCACACTCTTTAGAACTCTGGAACTCATAAAATTTCCAGTATTTCTCACCACAAAGGAAAACATCCTGTATGAAATGAACATAGGAGAAGCTGTAGGTACTATTAGAGATACTCGGGAGAATGTAAAGATAAATCTTTCAACAACTGGAGTTTAAGGGGGGGTAAATTTAGAGAAATAACTGGCTTTAGATAAACTTTATTTATCCTAACTGTACCTAAAAACAATAAAAACTTACTTGTAGAGAACTCCACAGTCATGGAATCTATGATTTTCTAGAAAATGGGTCACATTTTATGTTTGCCTAGCACACAAAACTATGCAGAACAGCAGTCATTATCATGCTAAGACCCTTTACTGCTCTTGGTCATGTGTCTCTATGCCCAGCTTCACTCAGAATCTGTCTGCACCAGCATCTGGCCTACACCAGTTAGGACAACCAGGTCACACATCAGGGAACCTGTGTTCAATACCCAGTTCTGGCTCTTGATTCCACCTTTCTGTTAATTCAGACACTGGGACACAGTGGTGATGGCTGGGTTTCTATCACTCACAGGAGAGACCTGGATTGAGTACCTGGCTACCAGCTTCAGCCTTACCCAAATCCAGTCACTGCAGGCATTTGACGGTGAACTAGTGGATGAGAGTGTTCTTGTGCACACACTCTCTCACACACACAATAAATATTTTTAAAAGAAGGATTTTCTTCTTCCTATCACTATATAGTTATTTAAGCCTAATTTGTAACATGCTGTGCCTGAGTGTCACATTTAGATATGAATTGCCTTTGAAATTAGAATTTCACTACTGAGGGACAAATGCTACTTTTATAAATGTGATGGAACCTATGATGTTGTCCCTGGGTACTAGTCTGGTGCCTATTCTATGTACCAGATAATCTCAATTTTTCAGGCAGTAAAGAATATAATTTCCTAGCAAGATAAGAATCTCAGGAAAAAATAAGGTCACCCCCTCAAAAAAAAAAAAAAAAAAAAAGAGAGAGATCCCACAGTTACAACTACTATAGGCAAAATCTGATGAGGCAAATCACAAATTTCTTGGGTTTGGCATTGGAGTAGATAAGCTGAGAGGGCAAAAAGACTATTTCTAACCTGAAGAAGCAAGCAAAAGTACAATTCTAAGGATTTTACAAAGCCTCCATAATATCATATGGTAGTGAACTAGACCACACAATATAGTTTAAATGGCTTAATAAACATCTCTTTGTTTCTTTTAAAATAAAACATGCTGAATAAGATGAATAAAATATAAAATCCTTATACTATATGAAATAGATAACACTGAAACACTGTTGGTTTAGATTATGCTTTGAAGGTTTTTCTTAATGTAGAAAATAAGTACACACTATTCGCAGTGTTTACACAGTTATTGCTGTTAGTAGAGACCGTGAATGTAAAGTACTTACATAAATGAAGTAATCTAAAAAGTGAATGAATGTTTAACAAATTCACTGAACTTAATACAAAAATAGAATGGGATGCCTGGATATTTCCTTGACTAAGACGATTTGCAAAGATAGTCTAAACTGAGTGCCTTTAAAAAAAAAAAAAAGTAATCAAACTTGATCTGAGGCAGAACCTGTTTGCAAGTAGAATTCACAATCATCTTCTGTGGAGAAATCAGACTTGCTGATAAAAAGTTTAAGCAATTTTCTGACTAACTGTAATGGGAATAAGCCTTGTTCTTGGAATCAGTTCCCTAACCATCTAGTTGACTGTCAGCTATGCGTACTCAAAGTCTAGAGACCTTGAACTCACATTTTTAATCTAGCCTACCAATATCTAGCCACTTATACCTTTACTTAGTGTCTCTAAGAATGAATTTTTATATACACCTACCTGAAATCTTCTCTATATAATGGTAAAATACAATTTTGACATGATTATTTGTGCAAAAAGTGGTTTTTCGCCTTATACTCTACGAGTTATTTATCATGATCTCCTTAGGAATAGCTTTATTTTTGTTCTGATGGCATATAATTTTTCTTTATCTTGCATTTCATTCAATATTAATTCAGAAAATATTTATTGATCTTTTGCTAGATGTTGTACACTTCTAAATACTGGTGATACAGCAAAGAACACAACAAAACAAATACCTAATAGATTTGTATAGTTTGCTTGCTTGTTACTTTTTCTTCAAGGTACCTCTTAGTACTTTCTTTCATTGAATTTAATTCCTTGACTTTCTACTATTACCTCTCATTTTAATTTAATTTTGCTAGACTCATTTCAAAGCCTTGCTTCAACACCAAGGCACTATATG